TTCTGGGGTGGCACTAGCAGTGTCCCCGTCTTCTTGCAGCAGGAAGTTGTATTTGCCAAAGTCATCATCCCTCGGGCACAGAAGCATGTCCTTGCGGGCCTTGGCCAGCTTCTGCTTCAGCACCTCACGCCGGTCCAGCCACTCATTGAGCTCCTCCTGGCCGTGGGCGCAGCGGCACTTGTCCCCATCTGGGCAGGCCTTGCCTTTCTGGAGCCTGTGGGGAGCGGGAGGCTCATCGCCTGTGCTCTGTGCCCCGGGACCCAGGATACCCACATGGCCTCCCTGAGACAGCTCTTTCCCTGGGCAGCCTCAGTGCCTGCTTACTCTGGGACTTGACCCAGGGCTGCAGAAGAGGGTCTTGGCAGGTCTGAGCCCACCCTCAATCCTGCCCTGCATGCCACCTGCGCCCTGCCCTCCCCTAGCACCTGTCACACAGCCGGAACTCGCCCATGGGGAAGCGGTAGGCCCAGCCGCTGGCATCACTGTCGGAGGTGAAGACCTTCTCCTTGTGCTTCTCAGACTGGATGTGCTGCTGCCACTGCTTCTTGCTGTTGCTGTTCTTGCCACAGAGCCAGCAGTGGTAGCCCATCTGGGGACACAGCGTGGTAGGTGCCGGCCCCTCAGGCTTGGGCCGGGCCCAGGGGCCAGGCGCACGGACTTACCATGATGTCAGCATAGTCTGTGGGCATCTGGATCTGCTTCTCCCCTTCCCTTGAGCTGATTGGGGTCCCTTCCCCGGGCTTCCCTGGGTTGTGTTTCTTCAGCCACATGTCATAGGTCTGCTGCATGTCCAGGACTGGACAGGGGACAGAGTTTCTGGTGAGGGGGCTTCTCCTCTACCCTATCCCAATTTCTGCTGGACGCGGGGGTCAGGGGACCCCAGGCCTGCATGCTAAGCTGCCTAGGCTCAGGCCTGGCACGCCAACAGGCAGCCTAGAGGCGCCTGGAGAAGCAGCAGGCCGGGGTTGGGGAAGAGACGGTGGAGGATGTAGGGCGTCTAGCAGTAAGGAGACGGGGGCAGGCCCGCCACTCACTCTTGTTCTCCTTCATGAATGTCCACATGTCCCTCTCCTCAGGGCTGTGTGCAAAGGAGCAGTTCCCCACGTACTGGCACTTGCGGCCATTCTGCGCGTGGATGCAGAGCTAGGGGAGGTGTGGACAGCCACTGAGTCCCACGGCCCGCGTGTGGGGAGCCCTGCACCGCCCCGGCAACCCACCCTTGAGCTCACATCATATTGCTGTGGAAAGTTGCGGATGGATGGCAGTGGCCTCACTGACACCCATTTCCTCTTGGCCTTGGACATCACCAGAAGGACCCGCCGCTCCTTGGTCCAGCTGCAGGAGAGAGGGGAGCTGCTTGGGGAGAGCTCCAGAGGGAACCCTATGCTGAGTCCTGGCTTCCTCACCTATGGTGCTCGGGGGGGCAACATCGTGCCCTGGCCCCTGCCTGGTACCCACTCACCAGTGACGGGCCTTGGCACTGCAGTACTTGAGGTCCTTGTCAGGCTCTACCACCTGCCCATTCCTCCAGCACTGGCCACACACAAATTTCATCTGCAGGTCAAAGGTGCTGGGCCCATGAGTCCTTAGGGCACCCTGTGGGGGACAGGTTGGGGGCTGGAGAAGCTGCAGGTCCAAACCCTGGGTCTTTCGTACACACACTTACATGCAGGCAGCCTCTGGGGATGCTGGGGCTGCCTACTCTTGGAATGGATTGGTCTACTTCTTGGTGCTACCCATAGGCAGTGGCCTTCACATGGCAGAGCCTGTGGCTTCTATTTTTCTTTTCTTTTTTTTTGAGACAGGGTTTCACTATGTAGTTGGGACTGACCTGCAACTCACTATGTAGCCCAAGCTGGTCTCAAACTCACAGCGATCCTCCTGCCTCAGCCTCCCAAGTTCTGGGATTACAGGCCTGCACCACCACACCCAGCCCCCTGTGGCTTCTTTTTTTAAAAAAATTTTTTTGGTACCGGGGATTGAACTTGGGTCCTTGTGCTTGCAAGGCAGGCCACCGAACCGCTGAGCTAAATCCACGGCCCCCCTGTGGCTTCTTAGTGTGGGGGACAGGCCTACAGTGGGACTCTAGACTCCTACATGAGCGCTTTTCCTTTTCTGGCTGCTCCTTACCTCCTTCAGAGGCCTGCTCCATGGAACGGCTGCATTTTCTAGGGCACAATGTGCTACGTCATAGCCTCCTGCTCTGTGCATACTGTTCCTTCTGCCTGGAATGCCTTTCCCCCACTCTTTACACAGCTTGTTCTAGAAACTGCATTTTAAAACTCAGCTCTAATCATGCCCTGCAGGAAGCCCACCCATAGCTAAGTCACAGATGCCCCTTCCACAGCTCATGGAGTTGCTGAGCTCTCTGGTGCTGATCAGCTCACTGGGTTGTAAGTGCTGCTCCTGTACACAGCAGGCACCCAAAAGCCTGCAGTGTAGAGTCCAGGGCAGTCCTGGATTCTGGCCACGTCCCCAGAGCAATGTCCAGCTGTTTTGAAGGCCCACCCTCCATGCTGCTTCCCCAGCCTCTGCTCTGAGAGGTGGGGAAAGTGCCTGCCCTGCAACCTTGAACGTGGTGCTTGAACGTGGTGTGACTGCCTCCCCTGCACTCTCTCAGACCCTCAGATGTGGGCTCACCACTCTGGGCAGCCCTTGCTCCTCGAGGCTGGTGGTGCCTATCCTCTACCACAGCAGCTCTCTGGGAGGGGAGCTGTGGCCCATACCCGATGACCTAGCACTGCCCAGCCCAGGGCCTGCCCTGGAGGAGGAAGGAACTCTCCGCACAGGTGACTGACCCCTTGCCTGGAACCAGGCAACTTGGACCTGGTTTAGCTCCAGGATGCTGCACACCTTGATCCCAATTGATCCCAGGGACAAGGTTAACTGAGACAAGTCTGTAGAAGAGAGGGTGAGTTACCCCACTCCCCTGTGACTTTCCACAGGAGGCGCTGAGGGGAAGGGATTGCTCCCATCTCACGGGGATGTGGTGGGGCCCAGCGGGCATGGCAGCTCAGCCCCAGGCTCATGGCAGCTTCAGGACCCCAAGTCTCCTAGCTCCAGCAGCCCTCAGAATGAGCACAGATTGGCAGAGCAGTGACCAAGCCCACCACGGGGAAGCAGCATGAAGACAGGGACACGTTGTAAAGAAGGCACTCATGCTTCCGTGTGGATGGCACGGAGAAGCCACAGGCTCTGGGGCCAGGTATCTTCTGCCCTGATATCCCCACGTGGCCTCACCTTCCACGTAAGAAGAGCCTCATGTCTGGACCTATGGCACAGATGCCCTATGTCCTAGTGTCTTGGATGGGCAGTGTGGGCACCCTGGTGGAGGGAGGGGGATGAAATTGCTCATGGCATCTTGGCCAGCGAGGCCTGTACCCCCGGGTGCATCCCTCACGCGCAGAGCATGTGAGTCCTATTCACTGTCTGCCACCTCTCTGAGCCTATGAGCTCAGGGTGCTGTAGGTGTTAGGGTGGGGCAAGACTCGGCGCATAGTAACACTGCAGCCTGGCCAGCTCCTGCCAACCTCAGACTGCCTGGAGGGTGGGAAGCGGGTTAAGGGTGCTTAGGTGACAGGAAGGGGGTGGGTGGGCAGGAGCAGGGAAAGCTTTGCACCAGATGGCAGGGAATCTGGGATCTGCCCCTGGGCAAGTCTTTAACAGGCTCCAAGCTTCAGTTTGTCCATCTGCAAATGCCACAGTACCATGGCTCACAGAGGCAGGACCTTGGTAAATATCAGGAGGGACAAGAGAGGACACAATCAGTGGGTGTCAGCTTGAGTTTACAAAATGTTCATGTGGTCTCAAAGTGTTGTCCCAGGAGATATTTAATAATTACAGAAGGCAAAATATAACTCGACGGTAGAGCAACCTCCACAGTGAAGGCACCTTAATCAAGCCATCAGAGTTTAATCGCATCATCACCAGGAATAGGACAAATTGAAATGGTGCACCTGCCTCCTGGTGTGTGAGCCAGGGAACAGATGGGGACACGGCACACGGTCCCACAGAGGGGGACCTTTTACAAGACCACCAGCTCCTCAGAATACCAGCATCACAGAAGACAAAGACAGACTGAGGAACTGTTCTGGGTTAAAGGGGACTGAAGAGACATGAGAACTGACCGCAGTGGCTCTCCTGAAATTCTGGGGAACAGCGGTTTCACAGCAATGCTAATCTCCTGGGGTTACAACGTGCTGTGGTTATACAAGAGGGTGTCTTTACTTTAAGATCTACACATGGAAGTGTTTAGGGATAAGAGGACATCGTATCTGCAATTTATGCTCAAATGGGTCAGAGAAAGAGTGACAAAGCCCCTCCCCATACACACAGAAGATAAAGATCTGCAGACAGCAGGGCAAGAGCAGATGTGACACAATGTGAACTTCTGGGGAATCTAGGGAAGGGCCCACAGGAGGATTTTTCACAGGCATCTGACAACTTTCCCGTGCATGCACTGATGCCACAGTAAAGGGACAGGGAACGCCCTTACTGGGCAGAGCCCCGGGGGCTTACCGAGCCACCGCTGGCCTTTCCAGCATGCGCTTCCATCTGCTGCCAGTACTTCTTGGATTCCTGAACGATATCTTCGTGTGTCATGCCTGGGGAGGGCAGAGGAGACTCAGGTGTCCCTCGAGGGGCTCAGCAAGGAGCCAGGCAGGACAACCACAGGTTGCCAGTGGCACCAGAGACCCCAGCAGAGCCAGTCAGGCCTGGCCACAATGGGACTTAGGGTACAGCAGTCCACTCACCCTCTCTGGCCTGTTTGTCCATCCCCACGTGGGGACAAAGGCCTGCTCCCCTGTCTCTTGGGATCACTAATTAGCATCCTCCCCAGCCCCTGCCTCCCTCAGCAGGGCTCAGCCCTGACCCTGCTTGCCAACAGCCAGCCTGCTGGTGTACAGGGCTCCGTGCCTGTCCTGGCCAGGGTCACCAGCTCACCAAGGTACCACAATCCTCACTTGGCCTGTTCACTGCTCTACCCCCAGTCTTCCTCCTGCCTCAAGGCTGCCAGCTTTCCTCTTCACTTGGCCTGGGCCGTACTCCCTGTCCTTCAGAGAAACCTTCTCCCACCACTGACAGAAAATGCCCCCGTCCCTCTCCTGTCCTCTGCTTTACTTCAGAGCACTGAATCTGTCATTGCTGACTCGAAGACGACATCGTCAGATGGGCAGTATTTTATGTGCCCCCTCTACTGCTGCTGATTACGGCCCCAGAGGGAGAGCTGTGCATCCCAGGTCAACTGGCCAGAGCATGCCCTTCCCTACTGTGCAGTGCCTGTCCTGTCCCCAGCACAGAGGTAATGCAAGTTCTCCACAGCAGAGCTCTTGACTAATTCAAGGGTGAACCCCCAACAGAGATGGGGTGCTGGTAAAGCCCTGTGAGTGGGGAGCGAGTGGCACTGGGTCACCTGTGAGCAGAGGGCAGCTAGAGAGGGGCAGCGTCTTAGTGATGGCACCCAGGCAGCAAAGGGAGAAAGCCGGGACCTGCGGGCTGGGCAGAGCGCCATCCCCTCTGGATGTGCCTGCACACCTGCCACCCATCCCGGGCCGCTCACCTGAGTGCTCACCTGAGTACTGCTGCAGCAGCCAGACCTTGAGCTCGATGAAGCTGTGGGCGAAGTGGCAGCTGTCCTCCCGCAGGCAGCCGTAGCGCACCTCGTGGCGGCACACGTCGAACTGGAAGTGCTCCTGGAACTGGCGGATCTTGGAGTACTTGAGGGAGGTGGAGCGGACGATGTGCACCAGGCACCTGGCGGGTGACAGGAAGAACATGACAGCTGGCAAGCCTGAGGGCGGGCTCCTTCCCTTCCTGGGCAGCCCCTGCCCTGTGAGCCCATCCCAGCATGAAGAGGTGGGGCTCCTGTCCTCGGGCAGCACAAGGCTTGGCCCTAACTCTGCTGCAGTGTGCCCTGCTCAGGCTTCAGTCTGGAGCCAGATCAACCTGCAGATGCCAACGAGCAGAGGGCGCCAGACCCCTCCTGCCACGAGGGGAGGTGGGGGCATCTCCCTCGGTTTCTGGCTCCACAGTCCAGAGCTGCTCCTGCATCTGGAGGAAAATAACGGAGTACTTCCTCTCAGCCAGGTACCTGTTTTGTTTTTTGGAGTACTGGGAATTGAATGGAGGGCCTTCATACCAAATTGCAACCCCAGCCCTTTATTTTATTGATTGATTGATGGCTAAGCTGTCTAGGCTGGATCTGAACTTGCTACCCTGACTCAGCCTCCTAGAGTGCTGGGATTATGGCCGTGCACTACCACAGTCGACTGGGCCAGGAATTTTTTTTTTTTTTATTTTTTTTTTTTTTTT